AGATAATGTTAGAGTTAAGGATGTCAGAAAAGCTCGTTGTCCGTGAACAGTTCGTGTTCAGTTCGTTAATGAGTTCGTGTTCGATTCGTTCGATAAGTAAACGAGACGAACGTGAACAAATTTTTTTCGTTCGGTTAGTTAAACGAACCAGACACGAACAGTGATGCGTTCGTTTGTGTTTGAATCGTTATTGTTCGAAATATAAAATAATTTAAAATAATTATATATATGAAATTTATGATATTTTAAAAAATTAAATTTAATAAATTATAATATATAATAATATTAAATTAATAATAGTAATATATTAATATACTATATTAGTAGTATACTAATATAGATATTATATATTTATATAATATAAGTTATATAATTAATATAATATATTATTTATATATATAAATATTAGGGATGTCAAACTGGACAGTGATTTCACGAACAATTTCGAATACGAATTTATTTCAAACAAACTAAATTACAAACGAACCGAACACGAACACAAGCTCTGTTCGTTCGTGTTCGGTTCGTTTACACCCCTAACTGTAGCCCTTATTGTTCGGATTGCAGCCTTATTTTCTTCCTCTTTTCTGCCACTATTTTAGTCTTCGACAAAATAAAACATAATTTCATAGTTATTTAAAATAAAGTAAATATCAAACTTTGGGTGTCAAATAAATATGCGGATGTAAAATTTTCTTTTAAAAATAAAGAAAAAACTTAAATTATTTTATATGTTTTACAAAATAAACTGACTTTTAAAATTTTAAAATAAAATACATGCATAAACAATAATCAAACATACTATAAAAAGAGAAGTTCACTAGATGAACCCAAATGTTACTTTTTTCTTTCTCATTTAGTACCAACATATTAAGATTATTTAAAATTCTAATTTAACTAACTGTTGAATTCAGATTTGTCTGTCACACCCCAGAGGTTAGAGGGTGAGAAAGAAGAGTGAGAGAGATTGAGAGATAAATGAACATTAAACGTCTTGTCTATTTGCTCTTTCTTATAAAATCATGTTGTTATTTATAGTGAAGATGGTACATTATATGATATTACATTTATGCCCCCATTTTCAATGGGGTTATTATAAAATATTTTAGGTATTTTATATATGTGAGTCTAGTGTTTGGTACTCCTATAACTAGGTCGGCTTGGCTAACATAGCTTCAACTCGAAAAGATCAATTCAGTCAACTTGACTGAGTTGGCGCAGCTTGTTGGTTGGATTTGATTAGCTTCAAGTCCACGGGATTGGCTCGGTCAGCTTGACTTTACCCATTGATTGATCTAGTCTCATTTCGGTCCCTAAATGAGGTACTCCTGTCGACAGAACGACACTAAGCTATCCAACAGAGAGTGGATCACTGGCATAGCAATTAAATTATAAACCAAAAACCAATGGCTTGAGAAAACGTAAAAAACGTTTTACATCATGAAAGAAATTGAGTTATCATTTAATTCACAATTATCATAGGGGTCTCTTATCTTTTTCAAGAAAAGAGTGGGGGTCTATTTATAGTTTTTATGAGTGACATCCTTTGCAAATATTACATCAATGTAGACCACTCAATTGGACGACCCAAATTGATCCCCTTTGATCAAATAAAATTCATTTAGAATTTGAGTCTCTTAATGATATTAGAATCGAGTGATCTTAGTCTCATTGGATTCGGTTTGATGAGATGTTTGATTTGACTATAAACTTGTAAGATTTAAAATCCCTTAAACCATTCAATTGTCCATCCAAAACCTCAATTTGTGATTGAAACCATTCAATTGTCCATCCAAAACCTCAATTTGTGATTGAACGACTTGATCTGGCCTTGATCGGACTTAGATCAAACCAATTTGGTTTTATTGGGCTCATCTTGTCGAGACAGTCAGTTTGATTATAAGCTTGTTGGAATCAGAGCCCTGGATAACCTTGACAATGAAACTAGCATGATGTTTTTTGTTCGAAGTGCCCAAAGTTCATGCATGATTAAAATAATTTTTTGACGGCATATCAGTTGCCCCCTTATTTTAGAATTCTTTGTTAAATATGTTGAATATATATCACTATTTTTTAAATAATTACGCGATGTAAAATATTGGACTTGAAGAGTTGTGAATGGAGTAGATCCCTAGGTGTTAGCTCCGGCCTTCTTGCATGGGTCTTGACCCAAAAAGTTCTTCTTGATATTCATTTGAAGATATCAATTTCGAGTCTGAAAAACTAGAGATGATCCCCATGAATAAATAGTGCTTAAAATGGGTCAGACAACTATCGCCACTGGTGGTAGAGACGGTGGCAGCTACCGGACAACTGTTGTCTGGCAGTAGCAACTATAGTGGTTGAGCAATAACAACAGTGGTGGTCGCATGACTGTGATTTGTGGGTGGCTGCAAAACATCAGAGGCATGTTAAGTGCGGGCAGGCGGAGGCGATATCATTAACTTTCAAAAATAAATATTATATACAAATATGATCAATTAGTTTGTATATTTTACTTTGATACAATAACTTTAATAATTATAAATTGTTCAAGTTACTTGTAGCGTCGTAAAAATTTTTCACCAACAAGCCAGGATCATGCAAAGTACTTATACCGTCATTTTTCACTAACAAGCCAGAATCATACAATGTCGCAGCTGCATGTTCAGCTTCCCAACAAGCAAGTAAACATATTTACTAAAGATCTGTGCTTCAACGACAATCACCTTGTTTACGTACAGTTGAAAATATTTGGAAGATTTAAATATATGTAAAAATTGAAGTTTAGATGTTAGCCATGTAAATAGTAAATACATAGGGATTATGTGTTATGTATGTAAACGTCCCAATTTAGGGACACTACAAGAATTTTTGAGATTTGCGACGGACATATATGACACAAATTGGAAGCAAATCAAACGATATTTAAGCATTATTGTCGGATTTGCGTCTCGTCGGATTTACGTTTGATTTTTTCCACGGATAAAATGGGGGTTGGTAATATAAATTTCGTCTATTTAACATCAAAATAATCCTACAAAATTTTTTTAACAAATTTTTAATAATTTGATACTGACACTCATAAATGCATCAGTTCAATAGCACTAAAAATCACCTAGGATCTTGATTTGTAAGTAACGTTGTTTCTTGTGCTCTGTATGTAATTATCCCCAAAATATAATTCATTGATGAATGTTACCATTTTAGCAATAATTTAATCCAGCGATAAATTTGTATTTTTTTCTTAATTCTTATAAAAATTTGAATTTTGAATTAAATTTAATTACTAATTAATTGTGCACCGCATATGTCTTACATATATAGAGAAAGAGAGAGAGAGAGTAGAGAGAAGAGAGATAGAGTGCCGTGTAGCGCGATATATTGGTTGGCATCTGCGAGTCAGTTGTAAGTCCTCGAGGCCCGGGGTTTGAATCCACCTCTGGCAACTGATGCCTTAATGAGGTTTGTACTCGAATGGCTAGGCACATTATGAGTGTTGGGTGCTCATCTAATAGCCTCTGTTCATTCCTTTGAAATATATATATATATATATACACATACTCACACACACACATAGAGAGAGAGAGAGATGACTTTCAAAGTAAAAATATTAATAAAATTAATGAAATATGTACATTTAAACTCA